CCTGCTGAAGCCTTAACATAAGCAGATAAAGTATTGCTTGCCTTTCAACTAAACTATGTCGTTCTAAGCATTTATAGCTTTATTGTCTAGTTATGCTTTTATGAATAAATGCTTTTATCTGCATTTCATTTTGATCCGCCTTGTAAGATGTGTGATGTAAGGTAAGAGCAAGGCACTCTCTTAATCCGTAAGACAGGTCCCTGAGAAAACTTAAGAGTAACCAATTCTCCAATACATTACTTATTCCTTGCATTCAAAGGTTAACAGAGAAGCATGAGTCAAGTTGAGAACTGGACACAGACAGGACTTCCAGACACTATTCATAACCTAGATATCTATCTCTGTGTGCTTGAGACATAAGGTTCTCTGCTTATGAGAACAGTCAGTGTAAGGGAACCTTCTGTCTCATTTGGTACTGCTTATGCTGTGCAAGCAACTATATTGTTTTCTGTCAGCTGGTTGCCATTCAGAGGAAACACTTAACTCCTGCGTGAAAAAGCTGCACTTAGCTCATACAATGTCTGCGTCTTGGAAACTAACAGGTAAGCCCCATTTCTGGCTTTGTATGTTTACACAATTGACTTAGTAACTGAATACAGATTTAAGTTTATCTGTATTATAAGCACAGCTGAGCAAAGTCAGAGTGCTTCTGAAGAACCTTTTTCAAAATAATTTTTCAGGCAATAAAGACTGATTTCTATTGATTTGTATTACATGAAACCTAAGAAATTATTTAATTTCTAGTAAGAAAGATGCTTAATTTTCTTTAGGCTATCAAAAATTGTATTAACCTCCAAAAATAAGAGTAAATTTCTGTTATACACTTTTTCCTTTTATGCTGATGCAAAGAAAATTCCTCTCTCTCATCCTAGTATTGTCAAATAGAATGTACACTTATGAATAAAGGTGATGAGTGATGAAAAAGTAAACATTTTTGGAAGTCAATTTGCATAAATTAAGATGAATGTGATACTGAAGCAAACCCGCATTTTTCTAACATTCTCCTATGAGAATCTTCTACTGCTGTAAAATAAGATATACTCTCAATCTACGATAACATTATTCCATGTCTTTTTAAGGTGCAGTCTTTTTCATATCATATCATGCATATTTATAGATATCACATTTATATATTGCATGTTATAGCCAGACAACTGATCATCTAAGGTGTATTTCGAAACATACTGTATCCTGCTTTGGAATTTGTACCAAAACTGAAAGTAGTTGTTCTGTATCCAGGAATTTTGAGATAACTGTAAAACAAAAGTAAACAGATCAGAAATTGAACTGAAGTTGTAATAAAATCTATTTTTTTTTAAATGCACACAATTACTTAGTGGTACTTATACTAAACTTTTTCTTTCATTCTATCTTCACAAATTATTTACCAGGGAAAAAAAAAATCAGGTTAAAAATAACTATCTAAATTATTTTGTCATAACTATACTTACTATACCTAAGCACGTAGTGATTATTGTACAGGTGGACATACATCAATTCAGCAATATTCTTTTTGTTAGGTTGAATCATATTTCTCTTGTGATAAAGATTAAGATTACATGATCCAACTTCAGGTGGACTAACTCATACTCTGGTATTGTATTTTTTTTTTTTACATTTTTCTGGACCACTACGTTTTATGAAGCAACGGGAAAAAAAATATGCACAGACAACAAGTATTACATCAGCGATGTCTTTATTTGTTTTTAATGTATACATTATGTATACTTATATACTTCTAAAATAGTGCATATCTAGTCACAGAGGTAAAGAGACAAACTCAAATTCTTCGAAAAAGCTATTGGCTCCCTGACTTCTATCCACTTTATCAGAGAAATTCACTTTTCTTAGCAAAATTCTTGAGAAAGATATCATTATCATAATAAAGATTACTTCAAAAAATTAAGTGCCCACTATATGTGTCACCTGATAAATCATTAAAAAAATACTTTTCAAACATACTGAATCACACTGCATACTTTCATAGATTAGAAAAAAAGTAAAAAAAAAAAATACTATGCATTAAAAAATAAACTACTACCTGCTTGAAGACCAAAAAAGAGTCCCTCATCCTGGAGTAATTCCTGAACACAGTCCAGTCTTGTGTTAATTGTTTCGGCATCAACTAGTGGCTCCAGGATATTGGATCTAAGTCTTCGACTTCCACCTGGAGTTTTAGTGTAATTTAGGACACCACAAAGCGTGTGACCATTCCTTTGAAAACAAAATACATGTGAAGAATACACTCACAAAAATAAAGATGGTAAATGTCAAGTCACATTTTCAGGTAAGAGTATCCTACAAATTTGAGGCGTGATTTTGGGATGCTTAGCACCTCCCTATTTGCCATGTGTATTATATGAACTACAGCAATTTAGGAAGTCAGGTAATTTAATGTAATTTAATATAATTTTAGCCCTCATCATATTGTTTTCCAAAGTATAGAAATACATTTGTATTTGGCATTTTCCTCATTTTTTATAGTAGTATTCCATTCCTAGTACAGTGGTGCAGTTCACATTTTTCCTCTCAATTGAACTAATTAAAAACAAACTAACCCTATAAAAGGAGACAAATTATAATCTGAGATCAAATACTAATCAGAACATTTTCATTAAAATACATTTCCGAAAATGACTTAAAATACTTAGAAGTCCAAGAGAGAAATAAGCTTTGATTTTTTTTTTTTTTTAAGAACTGACTTACAGTCAATATAGGAGCCAAACAACACACGATTCATAAATATTATTTTCATGTTCATGGCTTTTACATGTTACACATCCCAGGGTCTCACACTTAAGGGTTGACTGTATCTGTTTAAAATAAACAGCCTATAATATTTACATCTAGTACACACCTAAACAGTTTTAGAAACCTGAAACCTTCAATGCTATTGACTTGAAAGAAAGCCAATGAAAATACTGGGGCCATATAAACATATTGATTGAAAACAGAACTTGAATAGGAAGAAATCCGATACAAGTATACAAAACAAACAGCATAAAGATAGATATAGTACAGAAACTCCTGAAATACCATGGTATAAAAGAACAAAGCAACAGAGACAAGAGAATTAAAAAAGGCAGAAATTCAAAACCAGTTTTATTAAGGACATATTTACCGTAAGATGCAACTCATGACATTTTGCGATAGTATCCACATTGCCTACCCTTAAGCAACTAAGGGCTCATCTCCCTTTACAGTAAATGAAGAGACACAAGACCCTCCAGAATTAATACTGCCACAAGAACTTGATTTAGGTGTTTCTGGTGTGTGCCTGTATATTAACTTTTACCTGTAAATATCTGATACAAAAGATATCTAACCAGGCTTTAGGGGTAAGATCTATGTAACAGAAATAGCTGTGTGTGACCTCATTCAAACTTGCCACTGCATCAGCAAAAATTCTGCAGCAATAATGCTAAAAAAAAAAAAAAAAAGAAGAACCTTAAAGCAGTTTACTGTTGCTGAGTTCCTCCTGTGACCTCCTTCCTCTCAAAACCATCTGTGGAATTAGGAGCAGCTTTCAGAGAAATATTGCTCTGAGGGTACCAATCTTAGAGTGGCTGGCTCCTGCAGTTACATATGAAGCAATGGAGCAAACAAGAAGGAACTGGGGGCAGAGCATGGCAGATGAACAGAAAGAAACTAGTTACCTCCCACTTCTGAAGAACAGATCTAACTGCGTACTCTGCGATCCCCACAAAAATTTAAAAAAAGAGGAAAGAAAAAAAAAAACAAAAACAGAGCAGTGGCAGAAGGGTAAGGACAACTGATCTAGTCAAAGATGTCCCTGCCCACAGCAGGGAGGTTGGAACTAGATCCTTAAAGGTCCCTTCCAATCCAAGCCATTCTACGATTCTGTGACAACTCTCCAAGTGGAAAGCTCTTATGAGTAATACTTGAAGAGTGAGGAATCTCCCAGCTCCCCTTTTTATATCAGGGTGATGAGTGGACTTCTAAACAGAGGCGGATCTCAGAACTTGGCAGGCAGCAAAGTGCAAGTTCAAAGTCTTTCTCTTTCTAACCAGAAGTATAACAGTCTTGAGAAGGTAAGTCTTGCAGATTCTTCTGCCTAGAAGGCAAGTAACTCCTGGTGAAGGAAGTGCTCCAAGCATTGTTCTCATTGTGGTGAACTACCATGCAATCAAGTACCACATTGCACATGACCATCATTACAGAAATTACTTTGTTTGCCATTATTCCTTAGAGCTAAAGGAAAACAAAACAACCTTTTAATCCTGGAGTGTTTATCTTGTGCAAAATGAACAAAACCTAGGCATTTTAATCCAACATAAGTAATTTCTTGCAGAAATGCTGCCTCTTTCATTTCACAGTCTGTGAAATTTTGCATCAACATCATTTATAAGTTTGAATAAAATATGGACATAAATGTATAGATGACTATGTATCATCTCTTCCTGCAATTCACTTGTAGGATTTCCTATGCTAGAAGTTTTGTGCTGAATTGTAATGCATTTTTCTGTCCCAATATTTTTTTTTAAAGCTCCAAATGGTATGTAAGTTCTGTCATACAGAAATAAATATAATGGTCAGCTCTTGACACAAACATCAAGGAAACTTGGTGAAATACAACTTTATAAAAGGGTAATTTGTAAACTTAAATATTCTTACCGCGAATCTCTGTTATTAACCACTAGTTCAAGATTTTGTGCTGATGATGAATCTATCATAGCTGTTTTCTCACTCCCCTGGAAACGCACTTTGAGTGATTTAGGAGCATAAACTGAATTTTGAATAAATTCAACATATTTTAGCAAAGCTGCAGCAGCTGCAAGACAGTAGTACCTTGGAAAGAAACAATCTTTAATGAATGTTGAATAGTGCTATTTAAATATCACAAAACCAAGCAGTGCACTACAGAAACCACATTCACGCTTCTGCTTGACAACTACCGGGATTGATAGCACTGAAAAAGCAGTATGTTTTAAGTATGCACTAACCCATGTATAGCGCACATATATGCATGTAAATCAAATATTCATGAATGTTTGAGTCTCTGTACACTTGACACCCCACACTATATAGCTGGTATTGTGAACATACATATTTCAGCCGTTACACGCAACTTGAAACGAAGACCCAGATCACCAAGTATCACTACTTAAAATTGTTGGTACAAGAAAAACATTTACTGAGGCCAGAAAGACAGACAATCATAGCTGTTAAGTTGTATCTTTAAGGAAAGAATGAAAAAGAGAAAGTGGAAAGCTGTGAAAACTCAAAAAAAAAAAATCTGTAACAGGCTTTCTATTTAAGTTTCTAGATACATCAGGAACACTGGAGGGCAAAATAAAAGAACAACTCTGTTCTGATTTTCTAGTTTTTGGAACAAGCCACAGACTTGTGTACTAAGTATGTAAAAAGCTGTTAAAAACTTATCTGGGCACAGTATGCTTTTTCCTGTTTTAAACATACTTTGATTGAACCTCCATGAAAACTGTGCTGAATTCAGACGCACACAATTGTTCTATGTATTCCAAACCCTTTGTTTCATTGAAGTATTTTCTTTGGACAGTTGTAAAAGCCACATTCTGTGAAGATGGGGGGAAAAGCAAATAGTTTAAAAAGTTGCAGAGAATTTTTCATCAGACAGAATTCTCTTTTTCCAGTGATACATGTTTCCAAGAAAATCTATGAACTGATTCAGCAATATGTCTTTGTAGAAGTATTCATTCTAGCTTATTAGCACACGCAAGCCACACTATTGTCACTCATCTTTCCTTCTCTCTGGTAGCGAGCACATATAAGAAGACTCATACTACTCTTTTGAGCAAATGAACATAAGCTTTTTCTTGGATATTGCTTTTCCTCTCAAGAACTAGCTACTCCAAATTTTGAATTTAACCCGGATTTGGTTAAGATTAATGACTTTTTGGGAAGAGTTATTTTCATGCTAGCATCGATGCTCACATTCAAACTGTAGTTTTCCCTTGCCAAGGTTTAAGCCCAAGGGATCATTGTCAAGCCTTCAATGGTAAATAGGGAATAAAGATATGCAGGTCAATGTAACTGAATGTGTGCAACACGAGTGATTTATGCAAGAAAAAGAGGAGAGAGGTCAGGACGTAGCAGAGGACTCGTGGAGAAGCCATCAGCAGTGTAGACGTGGAAACAATTCAAGTAGTAATTAATACAGTTTTTTAAAAGTTCTGAGGCTTTACTACTCATAAATTACATACACTAGTTCATCTCACCCTCTTTTACCCTGCCAGTGCTCTTTTTCCTATTCTGTGATACATTAGCCCCATCTATTTATCAGGTTGAGAGAACAAAGAAGGAGCAAAGGAAAATGCTTGATTTTTTCATCTATGAATCCTTCCTAGGTTCCGTGTTGCTCAAATTACTTCAATGCCACAAATTCAAAACTTTCAGCTTTAATCAGTAATATACTTATCTCTGTAATTGTAAGGATTAGAACTAGCAGCATTGGAGCTGCATTTTGATTATTCTTTACCATGGTAAAATTAGGCCCAAAAATCATAGAAAACACAAAATCTGACTGCATTTAAGGGTTTAGAAGTTGTGGAAAACTCTCAAATCAACAATCATATAGAAGTGATCAATAAGAACTCTAAAATATGGAATGAAATGTAAGAGCTTGCCTTGAAATGTTCTGTTATCAGACTGAACAATTTTGTTGTGTTCCCTGCGTCACAAGCAGTGTTTGACATTATTATTTCTAGTGGTGTTAAAATCCTGAGTTTAGTAATGACCTGAACAAAAAAATTCAAAATAATTCAATAAAAATCCATATATAATCTATAATATTTTTACATGATAATGAACCAGCAATAATCACAGAATCCTTATATTTTAAAATCACAGTTCCAGTCCTATAAATAAAGATCAAATTTTCTGCTAACTTCTACACTAATGAGTCAAATTTATCTGTATCTATAGATATATCTATATAGATCTGTATCTGTAGATACAGATATATAAATATACATCAAACTAAACTAAAAAAAAAAAAGAGGTGTCTATCCCCTGTTATTTAAACACAGAAACATGTTTGTCATCGAAGCAAGAGATAGATATCCAAAACTATATTCCATGGTTATGATGGCAGCTTTCTGGACTTGCAGGTGAAAAGTTAATGGTGCTCTGGAAGATCAAGAAATGCAACAGGTCTGAATATTAATAATCTTTTGATTGAGACTTGTTTTAGACTTTGTTCTAACCTCCTCTTATAGCATTTATCTCAGTCTTACTTTTTTCAATATGGCTCAAAATACACATATTTAAACCAGCTCTGCTTTGATTATGTTATACACACCTGCTGTAGGGATTTAAAGTACATTATATGCTTTTCTCTTTGTTTATTGTATGAGAAAGGACAAACACCATTATGCATTTATATTCATTTATATCATCATTCACAAATTCTGAAGGGAGAAACATGAAACAGACTGTATTTTAAGTGCTTAGAAGTTAAGATGTGAAAGAAGGGATAGATAACAATGGAAAGGTGAACAAGCATAAAAAAATACACACAATAAATCATCTAAGGGTACCGGGGGGTGGGAGGGAGAGCTGTTGCTGCCCATCATATCTGATAATCATTAGGAAGGTTTTGTCAGAGGCATCACAGTTAAAGCAAACCTTGAGGAACTTAAAGAATACAAGAAAACTTTACTGAATTACTTTACAGAATATTCAAAAATAAAAAGGTGCACAAGAAAAAGAAAATACAGTAAGTTTGATATCAATCACTAGCAAAACACGGATAGTGGCACTGTAAGAAAACAGCTCATCAGCAGATAGACAGTATTGTTAAAGGTGTTAGAGATTAAGGTAAGAAACTAGAATGGTCAATACAGTATCAGAGTATGAGAACTCAGTAATCTAAATGGAAAATTAGGACGATGCGTACAAATAAAAATGCCATCTTTTAAAATGATAAGGGACGAAAATACTGAACAATCTGGTCACAGCCTGACAGGCAACTAGAGAAGATGTAAACTTATCAAGTTACAAGCCTGAGTAACAGAGAAGAGAGTAATGTTATCAGAATTTAAAGACAAAGTGTGAAAGGCTTAAGAAAAGTAATTGTATTTCATCATTAAATTCAAGACAAAACCGAAAGTAAAGGGGTGGGGGAGCAATTTGGGCAGCTAAAATACTTCTCAGTTTGAGAAAGATGTATTTCATGGGACAATAATACAGTTCTAGATCCTGACACAGTAGAACAGGGGAGACTCTAGACTATAAACGCAGCTACTGCTTGCTAAAAAGAAAGCCTTTTACTCTTAGAAATAACCGTAATCTTTATGAAACCATTAAAATTAGTAAACAATTTCCATAAAAATAATCTGAAGTTTCCTTGCAGAATTCTAGTCTTACCATTATTTTGATTACATGAGATTTTTTTTTTGTAGGTACAAACAAATCAATTTTTCACTTTCAAACCTTTAAGTGAATTGATTTAAGTTGCCACATCGTCATCTGAATGTCTACATTTTCTCATGCACCCACATTTTCAAGGTGCACAACTCATTTTGATTTTTAGTACTGTGCATCACAAGTATTTCTGCAGCTGCCAGGTTCAATATGTACTTACGTGTGTTAAGACCAGGATAAGCTTTAAAAGCACTAATGATCAGGAAAAAAAAGACATTATACAACATATATTTTAGTAAATAGATTTGATAGCTGTTTATATTCTGAGTCATATCTACTTATTCTCCTAGTTAAATTTAGTTTTTATTTCTTTGAATATTGTAACAATACTACAAGCCACGTTATTTGCTAGCATGCGTGACTACAACAAAACCGTTAAATAAGATGTCTTATTAATGCTGGTGTTCCACAAACCAGAGAGATTACTCTCCAAATTAATGTAGCGCATGCAGTGTTGCTAGGCAGAACACTTGGCTGTAAATTGAGTGAATTCCATTTCGAACTAAGTGAGAAGGAATATTTATGCAACCATACAAAGCCAGCCCCACAGTTACCCTACCCCCCCATCCCCGCCTGAACACATACATTTATGCAGTTCTGCTCTCAAAGTTGTTTTGCCTGATGAAAAACATTTGCAAGTTCTACTACCATGTATTGCCCAATGCTCTTCAAAACAAGGCATCTCACTCCCACATTGTTCAACCACTTTTTTTGCAGAAAGGCTATTTTTCTTTTGCAAAACACTCCTCTATCTAAAATCAGAGGCATAGTAAAAAAAATAGCAGTCCTTTCAACATTGCACATTTTCACGAACTTGTTAATTTCACTTTTGAGAAATTTCTTCTACAAACTAAAAATTTAATTTCGCGTTAGTCATAAGCTTTTTTAAGAAAGTAAGTCACAATAATTAGCCTGTAAGGGATACAGCAATTAAGTATATAACAATACCTTGGCATAAGTTGTATTGTCTGCAAATTGTGATAATACCACCTCAGGATTTTTTAAGTCAATACTGGCCATTCCTACTTCACCTCTGGCAAGGCCTCTTCCTTCTACTACAGCTACAATAACCGACCCAACAGTATGAGCAGAGACTGCAGATGAGGATGTAACTGTAAAACAGTTGCATATATTCAGTTACGAGCCTCTACTTCACATTTCACAGAATCATACTTTGACATTCCAAGTGAAATATGTGTTTACATTCCCACATCCATGGAAAGCCCTTTCAATTTACCAAACTTAGTTAAAAATTAAAAATGCTGGTTGTTGAACTCCTTACTTGCCACACCACACAGACAAGGCACACCTTCCGAAGTATGAACATCACACTCTTACATTAAAAGACTGACTGAATGCATTCATTCAAGATTGTCAGAACTAATCACATTTCTGTAGCAAGTGAAAATACAGTTTGAGTCACTATCTCTGTATTAAACAAAAAAAGATGTTTAGTACATGCCAAAAAACATTAAACATTTGCCATTTTAAATTCAAAATGATGCATAACTATTACCTCTAGTTAAATCAGGTGTATTAATTACAGAGAGATACTGTAAGTTAATATTCCACTAAAAGCACAACTCTGATCGAGGTGGCTTAGATCTCGTCAAGTTAAGGGAAACAAATGTCTTTTATATAGATATATATATATGTTTCATCTGATTTTATGCTAAACTTATTAAACTATTCTAAAATATATATATCTACAGTACGCTTGAGACCCAATCATTTGCTTTTCATTTTGGTGGGTTTTTTTGAAATACATTTTTAGTATCTTAAAATTGGTTTGGCTTAAATTTTCCCAAATATCACAAACTCAACTAATCTCATCTCCTTCTTCAAATAGCCAGCTATCTCTCTGAGACACACCTTACAAAGATTAAGTGTGAAAATTAAGATTACAGCTCCTTAACACCTAATGTCTTCCTTTCTCAAGACCCTAAACCTCATTTTCTTATCTAGACTCTTTCTTTTCCCATGTAGATAAAAGCACCAACCCAGCTGCTCTAGCAATTTGCCCAATATAACGTAGCAAATCTACTTTGGGATTGTACTATAGACCTACAATAAACTTGATGTTTATACCTAAACTGAACTCTACAGATGTACAATTCCTAATCTCATGTCATTTAGATCCAAATAGCTAATTTCAAAAATGGGGCTATTTTGTGTTCAACTATGGTTTATTGCAGTATGGTTGACTGGAGACAACCATAGTTTCGACACATTCCTTAATCTCACTCCTCCCACACCACTTCATACAGTACTGAACTTTAAATAGCACCGAGTTAAAACCCAACTGCCTTCTAGCACTACTGTTTTGGTGCCTAAAACCTAAGCTGTGAGCCAATAAGAAAGACAGTCTCAGAGATGAAGTATCACCTGCAACCAGAATTGGGGGCATAAGAAGTTGGACAAAATGAGCTGACCCTCTTCTCCTCAACTTCCCTCTGGGTGCCTGCCATCACAGATCTGTGCAACAATATGACTTAACCAATAGTAATAGAGTCCCTGCACACCAAATTATGCTCCCCTATTTAAGAAGCATTGCTTTTACGTGCTAAGTTACAGTACTTCCTAAATACGACATTTAACTAATGGGGTGATACCATTTTAATTCAGTGTCCTGAACTTCTTTTAATCTATGAAAGACCAAAAATATGTATACAGTGCTTTAGTATCTCAGCTAATTTTTGTTTCATGTTTGCAAAATGGTGTTACATTCTTCCAAATTCTTTTGGAGAAGCTACTAATGACATTTTGTTTGGAAATCTGCGACCAAAGGTTGTGAGACTGTGCTATTCAAATGAGCAAACGTGTAACTTGCTGAGCAATACTGAAGTTATTACCACACTATTAAAAGCAGCTGCTACATACACTCTGGTATAACTTCTCAGACAAACTGGAAAAACCCTTCATAATCTTCTTAACTTTCAGCTGAAAGCCAAACTAAACCTTACGATAGCCGAATTGAACAGTTTCGTCACTTAATCCTTCTTGAATTCACTTAAATATTCAGAAGAGATGCCATTATTAAATAACCGTTAAGTCTAAAGTATTCAAAATAAGAAAAATACTTGCATATACAAGGCATGCCCCATTTACACTTTCAAAAACATCTAAACAGTATTGGATTTTGACAGCATAGACATATTTACTGATCTGAAACACCAATAAACTCTACCTGCTTCGCAGTGATATTTACATTCTTTTCCACCATTACCTTCCCTCGTTCTTCACAGAATTTGCTCTCAAAAAGCAATGGAATAAGAGTATTCTCAAAACAGAACGACCCTGCTGAGAAGGCATAATACAACAAACCTGCTATTTTCTTCTGAGTAAGCTCAATTTGTACCCCAGGAATCAAAACTAATCCTACCAGGAATCTGGAAGAGCAAGATCAGGATCAGAGTTTATCTAAGCACTTAAGATTAAAAGGCTTTTTGAACTGCAGCTGGTTACCCCCTGAGCAAAAATCTTTGATGCTGCACAGAACCGAGTCTGAACCTTCATTTATTCTACCTATGTTCTGTAGGCCACAAGATGTCAACAACAGCATTCACATAAAGTTTCATCTGAGGCCTGCTGAAAATGTAATTGTTAATCTGCATCTTCTACTCAGAACAACCCCTGGCCCATTAGCAGCAGCTGATCACAATATTAACTCTTCTTTTAAAAGCAACTAAAAGGTGAAATTGATACTAAGTATTTTAGATTAGGTACGGTAATTACACAAATTTTATTTGAAGATGGTTAGTTTTTCAGTTTGTCACACTAAAAAATATACAGTGACCAACCAATGTTATTCAGAATGTGATATTCTGGATACGCTGCCTTTAGTACAGATCAAGGAAAGACTGATCAAGGAATGTCATGTACAACACAGCAAGCATAAACAAATATATAGATGCATACACACAAACATAGAATCATAGAATCGTTTAGGTTGGAAAAGACCTTTAAGATCATCAGTCCAACTGTTAACCTAGCACTGCCAAGTTTGCCACTAAACCATGTCCCTAAGCACCTCATCTACACGTCTTTTAAATACTCCCAGGGATGGTGACTCAACCACTTCCCTGGGCAGCTTGTTCCAATGCTTGACAACCCTTTCAGTGAAGAAATTTTTCCTAATATCTAACCTAAACCTCCCCTGGCGCAACTTGAGGCCGTTTTCTCTTGTCCTATCACTTGTTACTTGGGAAAAGAGACCAACACCCACCTCGCTACAACCTCCTTTCAGGTAGTTGTAGAGACCGACAAAGTCTCCCCTGAGCCTCCTTTTCTCCAGGCTAAACAACACACATGTAAAAAAAATCAAATGAAACTGAAGATGTAGGTATGTTTCATTGTTAAGTTGCAGAAAGTCTAGAGAAACCTGCTCTGTGGGTTTCAACCTCATAGTTACTCTGATTCCCCAATTCCTAGAGTAGTTAACAAAGAAAACTGTGGATCACAACAGCTGTAGGAAATTACAAACTTCATGTTACTTACATTTTGCAAAATAATTCAATTTGGTAGCAAGCGGTGAGCCAATTTGTATTCTTACCAGGAATAGATAATTTTTTTAAAATCAATTTTTAAATAATTTAATTGCTTCAGAGAATTACCATTAGATAACTTTAAGAACACTAAAGACTGAACTGATAATGATTAGTCGGACCGTGAAAGACCTAACTTCGAATCCCACTACTTCTGCACTACCAGAGCACACAGATACACATAACATGGCAGAATGCATCATTACCCTGTAACACAACTTTGTTCATAAGCAGCAAAATGTACACCCAATCAGCTACTGTGTAAGTGTTCTTCTGAAGAACTAGTGTTCTACACCTTTGAAGATGCCAACATAAAATGCATAAAACTTGCATCAAGAAACTTAAGAATGACATCACGATATGTGATGTACAACGCATTACAAGCCTAAAAAGAAACCCTGATTAGAAATGTGCATAAATTCGGGCTCTTCAGTCCAGTCACCACACAAACCAACATGTCCACAAAAATAATTCCATTTTGGACAATTTGAAAAAAGTCTGAATTCTAACTATATTGATAATTTATACACGAATGCAAAGTAAGTGACAAGAGGTTGCAATACTAAAACATCTACTAAGTATCTAAAGTATTATTTTCCCCTGTGGATGCATCTTTCATTGGCAGGCATCCTCTGTAGTACAAAACACATTATCTTTTGTGTTCTGAATATATTTCAGTATCTTACTGTATCACATTAAAAAATAAAGTATGTTTAATAAAATAATGTTAGAAATCTGAGTAGGACTATTTCCTTTAAGAGCTGTTAATCTTACCTGAATATCCCATAAGAGGGGTATGGCTTCTGCAAACAGATCTACTAGAAGAGAGGGGTGTTTTTCCTATACACGTGCTATTCAGGCCTCGCACAGAAGAGCAACTCGTGAGATTCCATGTGCTAGTATTTTCTACACAAGAACTTTTGTCCCCAAAATATGATTCTGAGGGGGGAAAAATTAACTTTTGAAAACAGACACATTAAATTGTATATCATTTAACTGAAAAAAAAAAAAATCTTTGAATCAGTTTTTATTCAGAAAGCAATATATAAAAATACCACTTAGAAAACTTTATTTTTCTTACTAGAAATAGAGATATCCAAGCAATAACCTTTAATGTCATCCTATAAAAGCTCTCCAAAGTACTACAAGTATAAAATGAAATAAAAATCAGTCTGTTCTGAAAACGAGTTTGTATCGATATGGTTATTTTTCACAATGACATTACTTGCAGCACCAATAAAAATCTTTGTTTATATTGTTGGACTGAAATACAACAGAAGTCACTTTACAATGCATAATTTCATATTCTAGTGAATTCTAGATTTATGAAAGAATGCTATAAGTCAGCTCTATCTCACATTTGCCCATCAGTTTTAAAATCCGTACCTGAAACTGCACACGTTTATGAATTTTTTTTTAAAGCTGAGCATTCTTTTTAAAAAAAGGACAATAAAAAAAACAAAGAACCATGCTCAAAAACTCCTCTACTTGAGCGTGATCTCCCTTTGAATTTATGGGGTTCAACTCAGAAATCATACAATAATCTGGGACATGTTTGTTATCTGCAGTTTCTTTTACACGTATATCTTAAGATCTATCTACATTTTTAAGTCCTGCAAAATCTCTTTTTCTCAGATCATTAAAACACTTTCTTTAGTTTCAATAAATTATTTACTGATTTTCAGTTCTCTTGAGATGACTAACAACATCACATCCTTAATCTAACTTGGTTAATTGCTTTTTAAGATAAAAAAATAATTAAAATATAAACAGTTTTTTCACTTAAAACTTACAAAATTCCAGGTATTAAGAGACACGCAAACCCAAATGTTTTGGTTCCCTCTATTACATTAAAAATTGATCTACAAGACAAAATACTTCAGTATTATTCTTAGATGACCCATTAACTGCATGACATTTTCTCATGGTTGGTAGAAAAATATTTACAGTACTGGTTTTTTTTGGGGGGGGGTTAAATCTTGCAAAACTGTAACAGCTAAAAAAAAATTATTTCAGACTGTAATTTTCATATTTTTTTTAAAGAGTGGACAAATCAGCATTGCAATGCATATAGATAATTTTTAAAAATAGCGTTCGCTTAGATTTTGGCATAAGTTCACTCAGAAGTTTGGCAGAAGAGACTTTGCTATTATCTTAGAATGTACTGAATCTGTCATAACATGGGGAAAAACGTAATTTTAAAGACCAGATGAACCAAACCATCTAGATATTTTTTAAAACCAACATTTAATAAATAAGTTATGCCATACTCAAATTAGCATTCTAAGTTTTGTTTGTTGTTTGGGGTTTTTTTTTAGGATTCATGACTGATCATGTACGTTACAAAAAACCATATTACCTTCTTCCCAATCTATGCGTAATGGAGATGTACTTTAGAATGCATTTCAGCAAGCGTTAATTCTTTTTATAGTTTTTCCACTGAAAAAAATACAAATTGAACCATTTTTTCTGCCTGCCAAGATAGACTTTGATAGTAGGATCAAGTCTTACGAAGTGTTTGATGCACACATGTTCAGTATGCAGGAGCTGTTGAGGGGTCTTGTCCTCAGGGGGGAGCCAGGAGACTAGTGTTAACAGCAGCTTTATGTAAAGGATGGCAAATAGCAGTGTTGCATTGTAGGACCACAACATTCAAGCATAACAGCTTGAATCAAGCTGTACACATCAAGCATAACAGCACTTAAAACTATTTCAAAGGCCAGGCCAAAAAAAACAAACAAAAAAAACCCCCCAAACACCACCAAAACCAAACAACCGAACAAAAACCCAAACATAAAACCAAAACCCATAACCACGTTAATGTGGTTCAGGTCTCTAGTAAAGCAAATACTGTGTTACAATTCAAACCAGTTTATTGACCCCAGCAGGGAGCTCCGATACTGCTGTCTAAAAAGCTTATGTGAAGAAAGTAATAAAGATTTATTTAAAGAAGCGTGAGGAACGACCACCATTGTTCTGACGGGCTGAACGAAGAAAAGAGGTCGCTAAGACGAAGAGATGCTGC